TTGAGCTTGGTCCTGTATTTATTTCCTGGTAAAGTTTGCACAGTTGAAGTTGGCATTGGGAGACAAACGAGAAGTAGCAGCAGTGGAACATTTACATTCTGTGATGCTGGGAGCTACGGAGAAGTATGAAGCAGTCACCTGGAAACCAGCCAGCCCAGTTTAGTTATCTACGGGATGGTAGGTCACTTTGGTCCTCTTTTGAAGGAAGTGCAATCTGATGGTGTTCCATATTTTAAAAAATATTCACAGTCGTCTGAAGGAAAGTTTTCCTAAGGAAAGTAGACTTGGTGACCTGTTCCTTAAAAAAAGTCCCACCAGATTTATTGGGAATGAAAGCGACCATGGAATACAGGAAAAGAAACGACTCAAACAGCCTGGAGAAATGAGCAGAGAGCAATGTGCTCCTGCAAGCCTGCTGCAATGCTCTGCAGGGCTTCATTTAACCTGCTCTGAGAGGAGATTTTAAAATGTGGGAACAGGGAGGCTGGGTGCCAGAGGAAGGGCTGGTGAAGGTCCCCTGCTTGCTGGGCAAGGGATTCCACATGGATCAAGTCACAATCCAGTACCAGTACATGGCCCCCTAGCTCCGGTGGGGCCATGCAAGCTCCAAACAGATCTGGGGGGGCAAAACCAAAAAAAGAGTCTACAAACAACCCCTTGTACTCTTTAGGATGATGATATCCTCATGTGTTGCCTGAACACATCCTGAAGCCTTGTCAAGGTGTTGAAACTACGGGTTATATCTTTCTGGGATGTGTCTGCATTTTAGCCAATTTTGTGATATCAATTGAGTGTTGAAAATATGTTTTTCACGCTCTTCAGGCACACTTGCAAAATTAAAACCAGACACTAAGGTAAGCTGCAGATTGCACTCCCAGAAATAAAATGGCAAGAACTGAGCAGCAAAGACCCCAGTCTTTATGGAGTTTGTGAAAATCTAAAGGAAAGTTGCCACAAATCAGGTTTTGTGGCTTTGTTTTGTGTAGGAAAAAACCTAAAGATCCTCGAAACTTCCTGATAAAGGTGAAGCTGTGCAAGAATAACTTCACTTGTTCTGCAGAGAGGAGGGGTATGGCTTCAAAGTAACTAGGGCATAGCTTAAAAAGTGCCTTGCTATGATTTTCAGTAGGATGCTGATGCTGAATGAACAAGAAAAATGGTTAATGATAATAGGGGTACGGGCTGGAAATGACTGCATCCACCATGGAAATGAAGTCTGTTCTTTAAGGCAGTGAAAACATGAAGCATTTCTGTTCTCTATGCAAGAGCAGGAGGGAAGCAGCAAGTGAGATGGCACGTCCAGGAAGGAGGAATTTAAACACATCCATCAAATTGGCTGCATTAGCATCTGACTGGCCAACTGCAAAGGCAGAAGCTCAAGTTTTCAATGTGGAGAAAGGGGCCTGAGCTGTCACAGAGGGCTCGATCCCAGTATTGCACAAGAAAATAAAACAAGTTTTAGATAAAAGAATGATCAAAGATTAAGAGCCAAAGAGAAAATGAGATATATAGTACCCGATTGATTGGGTCAGGTTAATGCAGAATAGTTCTTTGATACTGTAAGCAATTTTATTTTATTTTTAGACAGAACAATTGATCTAAGAAGTATTTGCAATGATGTCTCATTAGTGTATGCTACCTAAGCCAGAGACGATGGAAACAAGTGCGAGAGCTGCAGGCTGGTTGATGGGGGCTCACGGTGAAAATGGGAGGAGGAGGCAAATGGTTTTCCTCAAGCATTGATCCTTTCATGGGTCTATTTTAATACCCGTGAAAGAAATTGAGGTGTGCCCTGTGCTGGGTGACAAGATGAGAGTTGCCATCAGCAATAAAGATGACCAAAATGTTGATCAGGAGCAAAGAGGTGACCTTGACTGAAATAATAGAAATGGTATCAAAATGAATAGCAAGAAGTGTTCTTCGTGCACTTAGTGAATAAAAACAGTTACTCATATTAATTACTGGAGGCAAAAGAGGAGAAAGGAGTCCTGCCTGCCTTAGCCACCCCCATGTAACAGTCAGGAATGTGACACGACCATGCAAAAAGCTAACACCATGCTGGTTGTAACAGGGGAGGTATTTCCAACAGGGTTTGAGGGAACGCTTTGGGCAGCAGGACTTACACATAGGAAGGGAGAGGTTTTAAGTTTCTTGGTGCTCTCGCTCAGGATTAGGATGATGTGACGATGACAGGAGGTCGGAAGGGATGCTGCGTGTTGTGAGCTCTGGAAGATGAAGGCTTTCATACACGTTAGCAGGAGTCAGCCACACCAGTGGTGCAAAAATAAGCACTCGGCAATAAATAATGTCCCCACAGGAAATCCGCCAGGTGTACAGCTCTCTCTATAGCTAATTACTTGTTTATTTAAAGCAGAGTTAACTTACACTAATGGGACTGGACAGATTGTCTGACAAGCCCACCCTATGGGTGTAGAAGCAGAGGCATGAGATGGACAGACACCCAGCCCCTGGTGTGGCAGTACCCAGGCAGGTTCAAGCACTGCCAAACTGGGCACCTCAAAACCTATTAAAATGCCAAGGGGGGGGCTCAGCTCCATCAGCTGGGCCTTGCTACCACCCTCTCTGCTGCAAAACCTGGGACTGGAGCCCCAAAATTCAGCCCCAACCCGTGCTCAGGTTATCTGGATGGGCTTCTTTCATGTTAGGAATCTGCTTTTCTTTAATATGCATACAATTATTGAATCAAAAACTTCCCCTTTCAGCTTCACTCCGGGTAAAGAAAATGACAATTAACCTGATTCAGCTGTGAGTTAATTCATTTAATCTCCAGGTGCCCTTAGCCTTGAAATTAATACCCCCTAAAACACTGCTAAATAGTGCTCGAATCTCTTCCTTTAATTAAGTGCGTAATGAAGCTAATTTAAACAGCAGCCAGCCTACCGGAGCCCACGCTGCGGGCTCCGTGCCCCTTTCCACTGACACCAGAGAACTTTTTCCAGGTTAGGCCGGCACCGCACGGGCTGTGGGGCCGCTTGCCCGGCCCCCGAGCACCACCTGCCGACATATCGCCTGCAGACAGCACACAGGCAGGGCCCTGGAGTCATCAGTTCTGACAAATAGGAGGAAAAAGTGGTCTCAGGGGGCTTGTTGGGGTCTGGGGTTTATTATCTGGGGCTTGTTGTCTGTGTCTGCTGCTTTGCGTCCCACCTGGAGGAGGGCTGGGAGGCGGGTGAGGGGTTTTCTCCCACCTCTGCACCTCCAGCAGGCTGAGCTAAGGGGAGATGTTTCTCCTCCCCTCAACCAGTGCCTCTAGGGTCTCATCCAGCCTGGCTCCACCTGTGCCACCACTGAAAACAGTTGGAGTCCTTCCTTTTCCTCTGCTGAAATGTCAGGGCTGACGCTTGCTGCTGATAAAAATTTGAGATAATGTAAAAACAGGAGGGGAGGAGGGCTTTGTTTATAACGGGACTGGGTTCACACTCCATCCATCTTCAGAAAACAAGGATGGGGACAGAGAGGGCAACCTGGTGACCATGCAGCAAGATGAACCACCTGTGTAGGGCGTGAGCTGCCCTGGTCCCCACAGGGAGCTTCATTTGGTCCTGCGGGGCCACCCCTCTGCAGAGACCTGGCTGCACGGAGGTCTTGTCTCAGCTCTGTTTGCTTCCTTGCATGTTCCTTACACTTCTATCTAAAGGCTTTTAGCTGGGTTACCTATGCCAGGCTGAAAAAATATATATATATATATTTATATATGTATATACATAGATATACACACATGCAACCCCCTTGCAATTGGTTCCTGTAATGGATTTCAAGCCCAGCTACACCTCTGGCTCAGGCAGCCTGACCTAAGGATTGTATTGTGCCCTTTCCAAAACTGCATGTTAAAACCAGTTCCCAGAGAATATTCTGGGCTACTTGGTATAAACAGCAGCAGCCTAAAGCCTCTGGCAGGGCCGTGCCTGGCTGGCAGCCCCTCCATCCCCTGTCCTCGCCCTGCTCCTGGTGTCTTTTGGTCTGGTGCACAAAGGGGGCAGAAGGCTCAGCAAGGGTGGGTCGGGGCTGTCCCCGGGGCAGAATTTCTCCCCACGTCGCTGGGAATTGCATCATTAGTAGCTGGCCTGGGGATGGGCAAAGGTGTGGCTGAAGGACGTACACTAGACTTAATTATTTAACTTTATGAGGTTCAGGCAGGAGAAAAGCCCTTGTACCATCATGCCCAGCATGAGTCCTTGCAGCCAGGGCCAAAAAATCACCTTTCTGAGTAGCTTTCAGAGAGCAGGCAGCAGTCATGAGCTCTGCCTCTCACGCAAGCACGCCGTCCTTTAAGATACACTCACCAACATGATGTAGTCTACAAAAAAATGAAGACTTCTGTGAAGTTTGGCTTTCATGTTTTTGGTTGTGTGTTTTTTTTTTGTTGTTGTTGTTGTTGTTTTTTTTGGTTTGTTTTTGTTTTTGTTTTTGTCATGGGTAACTTCACGTCTTTGCTCAGAAAGCCAAACCTCCTAAATCTCCTAACGAAACACCACCTTCATGGGGAGCCCACTGGGTCAGGCTGCTGTGCCTCCTGTTGGCAGCTTCATGCTTCGGAAAACCTGTGAGATCTGAATATTGGCATGTTGGGATTTTTTTTTTTTTCATTTGCTTTCAGATTGTTGACATTTCAAAATCCTCGCTTCCAAGGCTTTGGCCCCATGGACAGGAGCCTGTGGAAGGCTGAGATTCATGTTGGCTCCTTGAGGGGGGGGTTTAAGGATGCTCAGGAACACAGCAACAACTGGAGCCTGTGGTTCCTCAGCTCTGTCTTTTGGGTGCATCATGGTCCAAACCCTGACCGTGTGCTCACATGGCACCGGGGATGGATAGAAGGACAGGAGTTCTTCTTTTGTGTGTTTGTTTTTGCTTGCTTTTGTGAGGTTGGGTGGTTTTTTTTTGGATTTGAGGGAGGGGGAGGGTTGGTGGTTTTTTTTGTGTGTGTGTGTTTTTTTTTTGGGGGGGGGGGAGTTTGTTTGTTTGCTTGTTTTTGTTCTTTTGGGGGTATTTTGGGGGTGTGCTCTTTGGATAAAACAAGTATTTCTCTGCCCAAATTACCCCGCTTTGCTGAAGCAGAGAACAGGTAAAAGTGAGTGTGTGACAGCTCCCAGCTCTTCCTTAACTCTTCCTTTTCCCAGCAAATAAAAATGAGCAGATCCTTTCCAGTGAAGCCCAGAGATGTGTGGCTGCTCCAAGGATGTGATCAGGCTCGGTGTGGATGTGCCCTGTGCTGAAGCCCTGGAACCTGCCAGTTGCTGGCTGTTGGGTTGCACTTTGGAACAAATAACGTGCTGTTAGTGTCATCCTATTTTGTTTTTCTGCTCTATTTTCTACTTCAGTTTCACTTCACTTCAGTATAGAGATGGGCTTGGAGAGCCTGGAGGCAGGAGCAGGAGGTCTCAGCTGCTCTTATCCATGAGTAACGGAGGACAAGGGTGTTTGCAGCAGTTCCCTGCTAGAGGTGTAACAGCATTCAAGCCCCCATCCTGCTTATTTTTGTGTCACATTTCAGATTTACTGTATGCTCAGAATATGTAGGGTTAGTTTTTTTGTTTGTTTGTTTGTTTTTTTAATCTTTATTATTTTATTTTTTTAAAGGTATCTGGTTTCTGAGTTGTCTGCAAGGATGCAGGTCCTTTCCCCCCAGATGCAAATCCTTTCCCCCCAGATCCAAGGCGTGTTATTCACCATCTCCAGCCCACAAACACACAAAACTGGTATTTGTTCCTCACAACCGATCAGAAAAGAAGATCTCAGAACCTAAAGCACCTCTTTGCAGCAAGAAAGATCAGCAAGGGTTCGTGCTTTGAAATAAAAGGGGCTGAGAGACACTCACCAGTTTTAATCAATAAAGCCAGAAATACGCTGGCTCTGAGCTCACCCCTACAAGACCAGGGTTTGAACTCCCTGGGACCAGGCTGGAGATGTGCTGAGTCACTGAAGGACATCACCACGAACAAGAAAAGCCTCAGCACAAGACGCTTGTTAGGGCTTTAAGCATTAAAAAAAAAAAAAAAAAAAAAACCTGCTGGAAATGATCCTGCCTTCCCCCCGGACAGCCCCCTCATCAGCAGCATTCACAGTGTGAGAACCCATTTCACCTCTCAGAGAGGAGGTAATTATTTCTTGTCAGTTAGGCTCAATCACTGAACTCTAAACAGCTGGTGGTATATCACCATTTAGCCTCATTTACCACCATGATAGCCTTTTAGCTGTTCTACATTTCACGCGTTCTCTGCCATTTTGCCCATAAATTCGCCTCAAAAAAAAATCATAAAAATTTATGAGGGGGGGGGGAAAGAAAAAGCATAAAATGGAGGTGGCTAAAAGAAAAGGTACTAAAATTTTCAAATGAAGATGAGGTTGCATACCCCCAGCTGTGTGAAGTGCAGTGATTGAGGGTCTGGCTGATGAGGGTTGATTGCCTTCCTCCTGCTCCTTGCCCCCATTAAAGGAGAAGTGCATCCTCCCTCTGGGTGCGGCTGATTAACGGCAGCGCAGGGAAGACCTGGGAACAACTGTGTCTTCCACGTTTCGATGTGATCCATGGATTTTCCTGACCCCCTTCCAATAAACTAGCACCCTTAAACAGCCTGAAAGGTTTATAGGAACAGAAACCGGGAGGCATCACTTTGCAGAGGGATCAGCTCGTGGCAGCGTTTATGATGGAGAATGTATCGATACATTCTCACCTTATTCAGTTAAATGGGATTTGGCTTCCAGGATGGCTTTTGTGACACAAAAGTCCAGGCTGAAGTTGCATTTGGTAGTGGCTGTGAAATAGCAAAATCCTGTTTTTATGGTCCAGGAGTTCCTGGGCTCCACTGACCAAGTCCCAGTTACTTCCCTGGGCTAAGGTTTTGAATCCAGCCACAGTTTGCAGAAGCCCCAGTTCCAATGTTAATAGTAATAATAAAGCAAAGCAAATGATAGGAAGTGACAAAGAATAGGCTGACTTAAAGGCCACTGAATACCTGTGAGGGAACATTAAAACCATCCTAGAGCAAATCCAAAGCAGACCTTCTGTTTTATTGAAGATCCACCCAAGCACAAAGTGGTAAGGATCCAGATGATGCAGGAGTGTTATTTCTGATCTCATTTTCTATCAACTTTTCTTAAGAAATGAGATTTCAGAAACATGTAAAAACAAACAAAACAAAACAACAACAAAAAATTAGATCATGCAATAAGTAAAGTTAATTTTGCCTGTGTGGAGAATACTGGATGCCAGCCACCACTACTAATATATGTATTACCCAAAGAGCATCATCATATGCTCATAAGTACCTGAGCTGGGACCACTTTTCTCTGTGCAGTGCTAAACAGACACTGCATACTTGAAAGAGTGCCCACACTCCCTGTAACCTATCTTCCATTAGAAAAATAAACAACAAAAAGCCCCCAGCCTCCTCTGGGATGAGGGCTGTAAGGGCAGACAGGAATCCCAACCCCCTGAATACCTTTTGGCCACTATTAAAATACATGGAAGAGCTTTTTTTTACATCTTTCTTTTAACCTCTTGGCCATTTCCCCAAACCCTCAATCCCTGCAGGGTGGGATCCAGGTTAAGGAGGGATGTGCAAGGCACTGAGCGTGGTGTTGTGCACCTGATTCACCACAAAGGTGCATGTAGGAGGGAAAAATACAAAAATACTTTCCTTCCTTTCTCGTTAACTTTTCTCCAAGTAAAGATTGTGTGATGCTCTAAGGGAATACCAAAGTTTCCCTTTTTGGAAGACAGACAAATTTGTTTGCAACCCAAGGAAACAGGATTGGAAAAGGCTGATGGGCAGCTCTTGCTCTGTTGTCATAAAATCCTTCTCATGGGAGTACAGTCTTTTTATCAGTAATTTCATGAAAACCGGTTGTTAATTAGCAACTAACGATTACTGGAATAAAGCACTAGAATAAGAAGAATTGGAAATGTTCACCTCGTGTGTCCTCTCCAGAGCCTCCACAATGCAGAGCACATCTCCAGAGAATGACTTTCCCAGGTCAGCACCTCTACTTTTTTTTTTTCTTCTTCTTTTGTCAGCTGAAGGCATACCTTTCCTCAGTGATTATTGCAAAACAATGAACATGGGTGGATGAAAATACGTAATATACATCCCGCAGTTACCAGAACTGGCATTTGAAACCAAGGAGCAGTGGTGCTGTGTGACCAGTCAATGTTCATTGAAGCAATGTGTGGATGTTTTCTGTACTTTAAGCCCTGGTATTTGAAAGGCAGAACACGCAGAGCAAAAGCAGAGAAAATCTTTGACAGCTGAACCATTCAAAATAAATAAATAAATAACCAAACAAATAAACACCCCCTGAAATCAATATTCAAAATAAACATCCTCTAAAATCATTATTCACAGGGGGATTCCACTTAGGGAGTTGGTTTGTATTTTGAAGTCCAGCACTAATTCCTTGTACTATACATACACATACTAATACTTCAGTTCTGGAAGTGCCTGACACATTTATCCTGAAAAGGCTTTTTTTTTTTTTTTTTCCCCCTCCATAGCTCACCACATCTGTAGATCAGCTATCTGCAATTAATTCACTGCTCTTTCTCTTCCTTTTTCTTGGCAACTCTCAGCTTACAGCAAAAATCCTTACTTATTAATAGCAGAGTGCATGCTCTTGCACTTTGCAAGATTTAATTTAATCTCATCTTTATTATTCTAATTCTCTAGCTCATCCAATTCCTGTAAGATGCTCCAGTTCTCCTCCTCCTCCTCACTCAAGCCCTCCCTCACGCATCTCCCAGCACGCTTGGTGAGCGCGCTCCCAACTCTTCATGCCCAAATCGTTACAAATTAATTAAGGTCAATCAAGACCAATTTTTGAAGCACTCCACTCAGCATCTCAAAATTTAATTTTAAAGGCTTACTTATTCCTCCCTTGGTCACTCCCTTTCTATCCCTTCAGTAGCTAGTTTTTAGTCCCACTGATTTCCTCTTCAGCTCTGCATTTGCCAGCCTCCAGCTGAAGGTTTAGTTTTCCAGTCTTCAAAACACACTACTGCATGAATACTGCATTCAGGTTCCTAAAAAATAACACGTTTATTGGTGGGAGATTTAAAATTTGTACTGGGTTTACGTGGTAAGGTTTTGGTAGTAGGGAGCTGCAGGGGCGGCCTCTGTGAGCAGAGCCCAGCAGCTGCCCCATGGAAGAGCAGTGCCAGATCCAGATGGTCCCAAAAGGACCTGCTGCTGGCCAGAGCTGAGCCTTGAGTAATGCTGGTTGGGCCTCTGGGAGACCAGAGTTAAGGGATAAAAAGGCTGTGCTACAGCAGCTGGGAGAGAGGAATCAGAAACGTGAGAGAGCCAGCCCTGCAGCCCCCAAGGTGAGTGCAGCAGGAGGGCAGGAGGTGCTCCAGGCAGGCAGCAGCAGTTCCCCTGCGGCCTGTGGAGAGGCCCCTGGTGGAGCAGGCTGTCCCCCTGCAGCCCATGGGTCCCACATGGAGCAGATCTCCATGCTGCAGCCCCCCCATGGGTGGAGGAGCCCCCGGTGGAGCAGGTGGATGTGGCCTGGAGGAGGCTGCGGCCCATGGAGAGCCCCCGCAGGAGCAGGCCCCGGGCCAGAGCTGCAGCCTGTGGAGAGGAGCCCACACAGGAGCAGGGGGCTGGGGGGAGCTGCTGCCCGTGGGGGACCCGTGCTGGAGCAGTTTGCTCCTGGGGGATGGACCCCATGGGACGGAGACATGTGGGAACAGTGCTTGAAGAGCTGCTGCCTGTGGAGAGGAGCCCCTGTGGGCTCAGCTGGGGCAGGACGGCATCCATGGGAGGGACAACGCACGGAGCAGCGGCAGAGCGGGGCCGTGAGGGAGCAGCGGGGATGAAGCCTCAGGGACTCACCGCAGCCCCCAGTCCCCAAATCCCCTGTGCTGCTTGGGGGGAGGATGTAGAAGAGGGTAGATGGGGGAAGGTGTTTTTTGTTTTTAGTTTCTCACAGCTCTATCTTGTTGATAATGGTCAATAAACTATATTAAAGTCCCTACATTGGCTGCCTTGCCCATGACAGTAATTGTTGAGGGATCTCCCTCTCCTTATCTCAACCCTTGAGCCCTTTCTATCATATTTTCTCCCCCTCCTCCTTTGAAGAGGGGAGTGAGAGAATGGCTGTGGTGGAGTTCAGCTGCCCAGCAGGGTGAAACCACCACTAACTTTCAGAAATCACATGGACTGCCATGCCGGATCCTAAGTGTGATCTTAGAAAGGAAGATTGTTTTTCAGGTCATGATGCTCTCTTGAGGTCTACCCCCAGTAACGATGTGACATGCTAGTAACGCTCCATTGAAAATGTAGATATTGGATCACCAGTAGCCACCTCAATGATAGCAGGGTGATAGTGTGATTTATTACATTTTCCTCTGTGAATAACATTAACAGATTGTAAAGCTTCTCCTAAGTGCAAAAAGGCAGATTTTCTGACCTCTGATCTGAATATATACTATTCCAGTGAAATTAACCTTTACTTATGGTGATAGAATTGTGTTCAGAATATAACTGATGGTGAACAGATTGAGTTTGTTCAGAGCTCCTTTATGTCATGACTATAAGCAGTATTTGAATGCAGAGATCTTTTATTGGATATGTCAATACAGCTGAAAAAAACAGAAAAGCTTTAAAACCACATGTGTTTCTCCTATACTCATGTTATGAGCTACTTGTTAGCCTCAAGATCTTTTCAGCTGTTCACGCAAGCACAAGCCTCATGTACCATCACCTGTCCTCAGTCATTTGTTTTTCTGTTCAGGATGCCTTTGTAGAGCTCTGCAAGAACCCTACACTACAGCACTGATGTAAAAGCAGGGGCCCAGGGATGCTACCACAGTAAAACGATATGGTATGTGTGGCTCTTTTCCTGGCAAGTTTGAAGTTCAAGTTGTACATCAAAAGACAACAAAGCAATCATGAGGAAAATAAAGTTTTATTCACATATTTTAGGTACAATAAATATATTTGCATGTTGACATTGTAAACAAGGAATTACATGTAAAAAAACTTGCATGAGATTATTTTTGTGTTGCCATTTTTACATTCACTTAAAGAGGTATGACAAAGATCTCTTATGCAAGTGGAGGATTTGGAATAGTTCAGTGTTACATTCACGAAATGAAGTAAACAGCTTGTGCAGATGATGCTGTAGAAAACATGAGGCAGATGAACCCCCAGTGGAGTCAGAATGATACAGTCGGCTGTTGAATTTATATTCTGAACTGCTAATAAACAAACTCTGTCATCCAGATTAGAGCAATACATTTTAAGTGATTCTCAAAACACCTAAATATATATACAGCATTTAAGACTTTATAGGTTAGGAAGGATCACATTCAGTAATAGTAATAGGAGGTAGAATTGTGTCGACAGTGCTTGTATTTCTAAGTGACAATAAAAAAGCGCTATTACTATCACTGAATTCAAGAACAGAACTCCTGAAAAAGTAAAAAGGATAAAAGAGTTGTTAATCCTGTTCCTCCTGGCTTGCCACAAATGCTAGAGCATGTATAAAAATGCTGTAATTCTCCAACACAGATAAAACTGCAAAGCAAGACTGTTAAGTGGTATTTCTCCAGTGCTCTGGTATGGGCAGCATCTCCTAAGGTGTGACACCTGTAAACGCAACTTCAAATTCAGGTACTATGAAGTCTGCAAAGAAAAATACAGTATGCTAATGCTTCCAGCATGGAAGACTTAGTCTTCAGTATCAAAAGGGCTGTAAGTGAGAACAGAACAGAAAATACAGCAAAAGATTGCATGCTATGCACTAAGATAGGATGAAGTCTGGAGGGATGAACATAGAGTCAAAAGATCAAGAACATAACAAGGATACAAATATCCTTGTGGGAATGGAAAAATAGGGGCAAATGAGATGGAAATGAGGTAATGCACAGGGTAGAGGAAAAGGGCACCACAAGAGAAAAGAAAGTTGACTCATTCTAAGGGCAATTTGTGTCAATAAAAATTATACACAGTGGCATAGAAGATCAGCTGTGAATAAATTAGAGTTAGCATCTCATCTTTGGTGTGTCTGTAAGTGAAAATGTGTATAAATTAGAAATTAAACAGTTGAAGAGTTTCGCTGCCTGCAAAAGAAATCCTGCAAAAGAAAATATTATTTACATGGAAATAAAACTATTCAGAAGTCGGCCTGACGGACACTAGGAAAAAATACAGCGGATATTAAAAACCATTAGATGTACATAGAGATAATTTTGAACCAGTGAACGAATGCAACATTAACACAGCAGTGCTCTGTTTAAACTGTGATCTTCCAAGTAACTACACACAACATCGCAATACAGCTCCATTTAACCATACGCCTTTACGAAAACATTCTTAATGATTAAAATTATTCAGATGGTAAAAAATGGCTTAACCTGAGCGCTGTTACATGAAACAAGGAATGCAACGTGTTGAAAAGCTGTGTGTATACAAGGCCCATTTCCTGTTAGTTAGAAAAACATGTATCCAACCAAGAAGTGAGAAAGCAACACAGGCACCTAAAAGACCCAGTGAGATTAACTTTCCCCTTGAGGTTTTGTCTAGTGCAATAGGGACCACACTTTCCACCAAAATAAGCATAGAAATAGAAAAAGAAAAATAAAAAATTATAAAATATAAATTAAAAAAAGAAAAAGCAAAAAAACAACCCTGCAAAAAGTAGTGTTATAAAGAACAAAATGATCCTTCCCAACCATATTATACCAGAAGATGGTATACGTAAGGATCCAATATGAATCAGGTTTTGTACACAAGGCCCTGTGCTCATGTAGACAATAAGTCATCTTCGTGATTAAAAATTAGGTTACAAAAAAACCTTACATAAAATCCTTAGGATTTAACACTAATTGAAGATAAAATACTTCCACAATTATGTTTATGAATTAATGGTTAAGGCATGATTTAAGGTAACATTGAAACAAAAGCCCTATGTTACCCTAAATGACCCATACATACCCTTTATAACATAGCTAACTTTCTGCAACCTGTTCATTTTCCTTCAAATTTATTTCTCATCCAACATGCTGCTAAAAATTAAAAAGCACAAAAAATAATTTTAAAAAGGTTCATGTCTCAACAAACAAAAATGCCTTTTTAACAGGGAGCATGTGAAAGCCAGATTTCTACCTTCGAGCATCACAACCCACGTAACAAACATGGTACCAGGCGAAGGACAGAACAACACAATGCTATGCCAGAGAACAAATCCAGGAAATCTCCCCAGTACGACAAACAGGCAAAAAGAAACAGCAAATGAAAACCCACACCCTCCCTCCCGCCCTCTCACCCGTAGTGTAAGGGCAGCACACCCACACACACATACATACACACAGTTACTTTCTGTAACCATAGAAAGTGCATACAGCAGTTTCTCAGGTAACTGCACAATATAAAGCTAAACAGAAGATACTATATATAAATATAAAAAATACTATATAAAAAATATTAAAAAATAAATAAAAATTTGTTTCTTATTCCAAGTAGATAGATTATGTCGAGAAAAAAAACTATGAAGACCCTCAAGGCACATGTTCTCAAATAACCTACAGTTTTATAAAAAAAAAAAAATCTCATCTAAACACTTGCAGTGGAAACCTAACATCAAACGAAAATGCTCAGTCTATTTGGCATTTTAGTGGCTGGAAGGCCGTATTTTTTTAAAACAGAAATTTGGAAATCTCAAGTTATTTTTCAGAATTAAACTGGGGAATAAGCTACGTATCTTGAAGATACTTTACAGATGGGATGCCAATATTCTTCTTGAAGTCATACTGGTGATATATAGGTAGACTAAGAACAATTACCCCGTCTAAATTTACTCTTACCACTACTTAGAGGGAAAACATTTGCATGGCAGCTCCTTCAGCTGTGAAAATGCTACGGACCCATCCTCCTCCTACCTAGCAACAATTGTACTGAGCTTTTCAAACACTCCAAATTGTTTCATCGTACATTATGTGCCACATCAATTGCTAACATTGTGATGAAAGCAAGTTTTACAAGACCAACTTGAATTATGTGTAAAACGAAAATAGCCCAAACTTTTGAGAACAGTATTACAAAGCAGACCTATCTGTGCTTGTACAGCAGAACCAAACAGACCTATAAACCCATGCCTTAGTCTGACAGTGTACTGTTTTCCCTTTAACGTTGAGCTTTTTAAAAACCTTTCCTTTTTTTTTTTTAATGCAGAACATTTTGCTAAAATATCACAGATCATATGGGCAATCCAATCTTTCAGTCAAAGCAAAATATGATTAGTTATGAAGTGAATTCTCCAGAGCTACAGATGAAAACAAAATTCCAAAAAAAAAAAAGATGGCTCAATATAATCACCTACTGGAGTTGCCTATTAAAATCATTATAAAATTATGCTAATAAAAATTGTGAACAAATAATACACAGATCAGGATGTATGTATTGACTTACTAGCATCTTTATAAAAATTTGAAGATATACACAAAAACACATCAACATTTATGGAACTTTATCCATTAAACTTAGATAAGACAACACAAAAAACTAACAGGTAGCTAAGATGTGTTTGACTGTAAGCACTTTGAGTAACATTTTAATTTTAAAAGTTCAATATTTACATACTACATTGAATGTTCCTTTTTTTTTTTTTTTTGCGCTGTATTTTGAATGCATGATCAAGAAAGAACAAGATAATGGTTGCAACAGATCTTCCAAGAAAGTTAACTTAAGATGTTCAGATTTAACTACGTGCTGAAAGAGAACATGGATGTAACACGTTCATCTAGCTTTACCTCTACTTCCTTTGTGTTGTTTGTTTGTTTGTTTGTTTTGGGGGGGAGGGAGGGAGGAGACAACAAATAGAACTAGAAGAGATGTACCACTCAAACTGATCATTGCCAACAAGATCCAGTTTTAAGTTAGAATTTGAGAACTAACAAAACACAAACATTTTCACAAGTGACTCACCTAATTGCTACTTTTGCTACTGAGTTTAAGGTATTAGTAAGATACGGTGACAATACAGGGTGTGCGTATGTATGTATGTGTATACTAAAAGGCATATAGACATACATACATATAGTGAGTACGTTTACACGTGGTTCTGATACCCAGCTACTGCAATAAGCAGCTAAAATAACCAGCAATGCGTTGTACATTGTCTATGCACAAGCAACAATCTACTGCAACCACCTTTAAAGAGGATCCATCTCGTCATTAAACAGGCATTGTTTACGTTGCCTCCTACATTTAAATAGATCTGAGGCAATTTCACGTCTTTGTTCCAAAGCCACCCATTTTTGTCTTTTTTTTTTTAAACCCCAACTGAATAAAAATTCTTAAAACTTGTTTAAGTTGGCTGAACCTCAGCCTCTTTGGGATAGATTCAAAACCCAAAGCAGGAGCGTTTCTACAAACTTCTTTGACTTTTGAATCAAACCCATATTCTCAGGCTCCAAGAAACCCTCTAACCCCAATAACACATGCTTATGACAGGACAGCTGATCAACTGCAGATGTTCCTACTGCTGAACTCAGCTGCTGGCCTGTCTGGCATTCGCATCTAGCCCAGATTTCCAGACACACACTATTAGTGCTCCATTCCTAGATGTCTTCCCATCCTTCTCGGCACAGAGAAGCTGCTTCCTAACAGTGGGGTGAATAACTGTTTAATGACTCATTTTAAAGATAAGAATTTATTTTTAAAAATAAAAATGACATAACCTGAGGAGGTAGCACAGCAGTCCTAGCACTCATGGAAGTGAGGAACTACACCGCCCTTGGCAGAGCCAGTCACTGCCATCACCTGGCATTGGTCTTCAGAGTCAGCTTCCACCGGGCACTTCCTACCTGAGACTTGTTCTTTGTCCTGGGCTTAGGTCTATCTGAAGCACTAACAGCACTGTATGTGCTGAATGTAATTAAGAAATATGCTTAAATGGGGAACTGTACAGACAGGTATAAAACTCACTTCCACATTAATATTCTCTTGATGTTATAGCATCTTGTCACTATGTTGGAAATGGGCTTAGAGCACTCTTTATAATTTTTACCAGTGCAGTTATTTCCAAAGTACCACGTTACTCTGTATCATTTCAGTGAATAAAAGCAGTTTTACCTAGAAGACTCAACAGTATTTATTAATCGTTATAATTTTTTAAGCAACTTTTACTTAATTGAAAGCCTGGACCAGTCTTTCCATAAAAAAAACAAATGGGTCTCTGTGACTTAGTTACCATTAAACCTTTAAAAAAAATCTATGCTACTATAAACTTGCTTAGTTCATCCTTCTGTTTTGGCCCCCATTCACAGCTGTTCCATTGGTGTTCTTCTGTGATTGCTCAGGTAACAAACCTACAAAGTTTCTTTAAGTCCCCCCATTCAGTAGTAGGTGGAAGGCTTAATAGTATTCCTAAAATAAAGGATGAAGCAAAAGCTCACAGTCTAAAAACTAAGGAAATGTTCATAAAAACTTCAATCCAATATAAAGATGACATTTTAATAAGTTTATTCAGAAGTAACTGAAAAAAGTTGTTCCTTTGGCAATACCATCTAAATGGTTCTAACCAAAAGGAAATATTATGAATTTTACTTTGAATAAAATATAAGCTCCTTTATGTTTGCACATAATTTTTGCGAACTGCCACGTTCACCAGCAGATTCACAACGTCCTTATAGTCTTGTTGTATGTATTGGGAACAACACATCAAACTAAATCCTTTCAGTTATGGGTTTCTTATGGTTCAGTCAAAGTAAATCTCAAAGGAAGAAAAAAAATAATCAAAATAAAGCATAAGGCGATTATGAAACACTAGCCCAAAAGAACTATTAGGAATGCACCGCTCTTCCTGTGTAACTTTTTTTAAAGTGAGCCACTAAATATTTATTTTTCCTTGCATCTGGCAACATCATTTAAAACAACTTAGTTACAACTTGGAGTTAACTACCCCAGGATGCTACTGAAGGGCAAAGATCCTTGTTTTTAAAAACCAAGGGAAAATACAGCAATGTTATTCCTACACAGTGTTTTATGGAACAAGTGGAGTTGGAAGGAGAAGGTGGAAGTCTGTGTTGGAATAGAAAATGCAAAGACAGACTTAACATATTTACAAAGATAGAAACTACAGTTTTCCAGTGTCACCTCCAAAGCTTCTCAGCTTACTGCTATTCAGTGAAGTAGACCACGTTTAAATCTACGCAAGAATACTTTCTATGCTCTCAGATATACAACGTAACTAACGTGTTTGGTTTAGAAAAGTGAGTTCTCATTCAAATACCTCGCACTGAAGATAAGAGCAACCATTATCAAATATTCTTTGCTATGAAGAAAGTTTTTAGATCTTTCGGTGTAAACGTTCTCTCTCAAGTCACTGTGGTCACACAGTAGTATCTTGACGAACAGTGTCTGCATGCACTGTAAGCATTTTGAAAAAAATCTGTAGTTCCATGTGGTTACAACAGAACGTGAACAAACTGAACAGAAATTCCACCTTTGCAGATCCCTCTCAAGTTCTGCTCTTCTTGAGGACATCTCGCTGCTTTCTGTAGTTCAACATGGCAATTAAAGACTGTAAGCTGAAAGGTTTCAGAACCTGATGGTCGTGCCACCGTGTCTTGTGTCGCTCCACAATAGGCTTCTGTTAGTGTATGTATTTCTCAGCAGACATCACTCAACTATCAGTGCCACATTTATGTGGGACAGATCTATCATGTGCCTGTTAAAAGAAACGTAAAACTCGTACTCAAGCTTATTCTAGGGATAGAGATCAGACAAGAAGGTTCTATGAAGGTCACCAATAAACAGATGCTTGAATAGATTAAGAGAAACATTGATCAGAGGAGACTAATTTCATCTTTTGAAGGGAGGGAGTGAACCAAAGGTTACAGTAGTGCTTACTTACCTGTGGAATTTCTGTTGAAATGCTAAAGCATGTGCTGGCTCCTTAAACTTTGCTATGGCTTTCCGTTGTTGAGGAAGCATCTGTAAACTCTGTAGAGACAAAAAAGTCAAAATATATTTTTATTATTCAACTAAAATTACACTTAAAAGAAAACTCATTTTGCATCAAACCTATCAAAATTTTGTTTTATTTCTTTTCTCAGAAACACTTACTGGTGTTTATGGAATGGAAAGAGACTTTCATTGCAGTCAGGGGCCTAGCTGAAAGCTGGTGTGTTAAGCAACTGTGCCAAAGGGAAAACCTAGACTATTGCTGGCTAAGCAAAGACCACAATTCTTCAATCTGATCCACACAGATGAAACAAACCCTGCAGCCCGACTTCCACCAACTGACTGAGAAGCATTCAAATGGGCACAGTTTCACTTCACACACAAGCACCTGGATTCGCTCACCTGACCTACGTTAATGGATCACAGCATTTCACAGGTCAAAACAGAGCAGAAACGGGGAAAAAGTGGCAAACAGGCAAAAAGTTATAAGCTTTGATCTCTGGACTGTGTATCCTCGTGTTATTTCAACACAAATGGTTAGCTTTTGACTGACACTAATAATCCTGTGACCTTGATGAGATGATTTAGGACACAAATTTAAATATCCAAGTCCCAGTAATGGGAAACAATGCAACACATTTGCCTGCAAAAGTCCATGAGATATATGCTTCTCTTACTAAGAAAGCAGTATTTCACAATGCTGTAACAAACAAAAGATATGTAGTATTGAGGCCTCTAGAACTAGAAAATGCCTCAGCTAGGGAGCCGGAGCACTTATGTCCCTGTTCCCTGTTGACCGGTGGCCCTGTGGTCTTTGTAGTCATAGAATCAAAGAATATCCTGAGTTGGAAGGAGCCACCAGGGTCACAGAGACCAACTCTTGCCTCCACAAAGAACCACCAAAAACCAGCCCCTGTGTCTGAGAGTGGTGTCCAGATCCTACTTAAACTCCTGCAGCTCGGTGCCATGCCCACTGCCGTGGGGATCCTGTCCCAGTGCCCAACCACCTCTGGGTACAGAACCTTTCCCTAACCGCCAGCCTGACCCTCCCCTGTCCCAGCTCCATGCCGTCCCCTCGGGTCCTGTCGCTGTCCCCAGAGAGCAGAGCTCAGCGCCTGCCCCTCCGCTCCCCTCGTGAGGGAGCTGCAGGCCGCCATGAGGCCTCCCGTCAGTCTCACAAACCAAGTGATGAGAAGTTAACAGCCTTACTAAGGTTGAAATTGATACTTTGGTTAGAACAGTCTTCCCCCCTACACCTCCCAAAAAAAAAGACACTTCAGAAATATGAGAAAATTAAGTTTTACAAATTAAATATGTGCACTCCCAACAATCCGTGAGAACATGCGAGAGGCATTCATCATGACAGAACATCCAGGATGGAAATATCCTTCTACGCCAGTGTCTGAACACAGGCCACAGGGATTTTACAGTAACTAGGTTAAAACGTCTTCTGAAAGTTTCAATCATAATTTTGAAGCTCAATGTCACAGCGATTCCAGTATCTCACGATAAGTTTCTGAAGTTTAATTGCCTAGGCTGCAGCACACTGAAGACAATTGTTGTCATTCAGCTTCCAGCTCCCCACCATTCTCATGGCTTTGCATACAAAATTATATACCTACCATTCCTGCTTTCCATGCGTAAGTTTCCACATAAAGTCAGTCCAATTTTGCACTGAGCCTAATATATATTAAGTCACCTCAAAACTTTTCTAGGTTTCCGTGTAATTTCCTGGTTGTCACATATAAATTTAATTCTCTGTTCCTGTGTATCGCCTGCACTTAGCAGCATCCCCACACTTGTCAGTGACTCTAGCCTTCTCTAGGTCAGTCTCCAAAATTTTAAATTTCATCTGCAAAAACTTCGTATCATCTATTGAAGAAATACCAAACATCTTCAGACAAGCAACCGTTCCTTGGGAAACCACAAACAACCACACTCGATACATTTTTCAAGGGTAACATGCTTTGAGACATCTCAGTGAAAGGATTTTTATCCAACTACTGTGTGCAGTGCTTGCTCAATCTCATGCAGCATTTTAAGCAAGATGTCAAATGTCAGGATGAAATTTGCTATTAAAATTGCCTACTTATATCTTTTTTGGAGCAGGCTGAGAACGCGTTTATTTAACAAGAGCTGTGGTACCTGATAGTCGCATTTCTTCATTTTTAAGCCTGACAATTCAGCTGTAGGCTCTTTCTGTAGTTTATCCATCTGTGGATTTTGAAGTCATTAATTTTAGCACTGGTTACCTTGCACTACCTTGTAATTGACAGGAAACTTCCCTTTCACTATGAAAATCACAGAAGTTTATTATTTCCATTACTCTGACAATTTTAAAGTGAAAGCAGAGGAAACGATGAGGATATTATCAGCTTCATATTTGAAATAACTGAGAAAAAAGTGAGCAAAGTAACCAGCAGAAAAGTTCCAGTTGGTTAATTTGCACTGTACAGTTTTCGGAAATCTTGCAATAAGGGAAAGATTTAGCTAAATAACTAGAATTTGTTCTTTTCTGAGATAGTAGCAGTAAGATTTATCTAAAAAAATAAAAATAATAATAATAATAAAAAAAACAAACAACAAGCAAATAGGAAGATGTCTATTTTTTAATCAGAAAGATCTTTACAAGGTTAAGCACATTTTACCAACATGAATACTATCTAATTGCATAAAGCACCAAAGAATGAACTTGGAAAAAAGCTCAGTTCTCCTGTATGTATAGAAATCTGCTGGACTGGATGAGGGAGGTACTGAAGCTTGTGTTCTCCTTTACAGATGTCCCTTTATTATAACTTACAGAACTGTATTCTCTTGCTACCATCTTTTCAGTCTAGACTAAAGAATAAGTTTTAAAGACTAAAAACTAATTACAGCCATTAAGTAAAACATTTTTTAAAGAAGACACTTTTAAGAGTTAAAAGGAAGAAATGTAATTTAAAAAAAAAATATATGAGAAGTAAATCTGGTTCCTTGATTACGAGCCAAAGAACCTGAAATGATTAATATAAGAAAAACCTGTCTGAATCACTGAAAGGACAAATATTTCAGAGAGCAGTTGGACAACAGCAAGTACCCTGCAAGTCCTACTGTCACCTCATTCTCTCCCCCCTTTCCTGAGCTGTCTTTAGTTCTGCTAACAACTGATACTCACAGGATGTGATCAGTTTCAGAAGAGAGAAAATGTGCTTTTTTTCCAATAGTTGATCAATTATGACTTTAGTATGCTTGAAACGCAGAAAAGCAAAATTTGATTTTGCAGCTCATACACCCGTAATGATAAATTATTAAGAAGCTGCTCAGTAATTAGCATACAAGATTGACTAAAGGAAGACATTCTGGTGTAGTAGAGGCTTATTAGTGAAATTAGAAAGGCAAAGTATCTAAATCTTACTGTAGACAACATATTTGTGCTTTCACATGAATTAATAAAGCTTACTGGCTGACTAGTTTGGATATGTCACTGCCTGCTCATCTTTGTGTTGTATTATTGTCATATTTTCCAAAGCAAAAAAATGTAACCAAAACAATTCTGATTTAGAGTTTTAATTTTAATACTCAGTTGTTTTGGCAATAAAGCATCTATTCTTGGATAAGCCTATTGAAAAGCATCTTAATAACATTCAGTTTCACTTGTCAATATGGTGAAACAAAGTAAAAGGTTTTCAGATGATTTTCAGTGGAAGCAGCAACCATTGATACTCAGCCTGAACTTACTTGAAAGTTCTCAGTTTATTCAGTTCCCCCAACAGTATTTTATATTTCAAAGCCTCAACATCAATTATAACAATCAAAATTTTCCCACAGTCATCTGGCTAATGCATCCAGATGGGAGCCACCGTAGCAGCATGGATCGGTGTGCCACACTGGATCTCCACTGGCTGCAATAAGCCAATCCATCTGATCCTTTGCTGAACGGGCTCCATGGAATGCACTCACAGAGCCCAGCAGTAGGACAATCACTTCCAGCATCAATCTTCTCAACTACTGCAGTTACATGCTCTTGTGCTTTTCAGCAAGAGAGAATTTAGGACTGCACAACAAAAGGATAAATGAATGCTACACAAATGATACTCCTCTAATTGAAAACTGTCCAAAAGCTCCAATTAAACAGCTTTAATACAATTTCTCAACCTTCACTACACTCAAACCATGGTCATGAAAGTGGTGCAGATTCGTGTTTGCCTCATTTAGATATAAAAAAAAATGTTTTTGGTCTTGTTTTAACAAAAAATAAGATAATTACTAAGCTAATTTACTTTTACTATATGAATACCATAGCCTGAAATGCCATCACAAATACCTTTGCTGACAAAGACTTATAATGTTACAACACGAAACATGATCTACATTGCATTTTCAAACAAATCATTATTGATAACTTGCAAATATGAGCATTTAGCTTGCTATCAGAAGTCTCTTGAAAATGTCTACTATTATTTTGAGACAACATACATTTACTTGTACTACTATATAAACTCCGAACTTCATGCTTACACTGTTAAGAGAACAACGAGGCTGACTGTCAGGCACAGAACAAGTCAGTACAATTTTGCTGGAGTGTGTAGGTCCTGACCTGCTGCTATCCTGAGCCTGAACAGATGGGCTATCAGCTGGGAATACAAACAAGTGTTCCACTTCAGTGGAAACCTGAAATAAAATAACTGCATATTCATCCTACTGGATTATTTCTGTCTCCTTGAATTCTGGGTGAGATGTAGTTTACAGTTGATCCTGCACTTAGGTGATGTTAACAGCTTCAGTTAACAGGTGATGTTGTCTGAAGAAACAGATTGGGCATGCAACCTGTGGAATTTTATCACCTCAACATTTTTTTTCAAGGCATTATCTTATGGACTTTACCAGCTTTTCCTACGTGCTAGGAAATTACACACAAAATTAATTCTGCATAACTTAATCACACTACCTTGTTATTTTGAGACCCCTATTTTTGTCACCTTTTTAGAATAACCAGGCAGCCATTGTTTTCAGTGATAAAATTCAGTACTCCTAGCACCCATAACATTCTTAGGATAGTC